TACTATTTTACCCATTTTCAATTCAAAAAATGGGAGCCAAACATACAATGGTCTGCTCTTGGATAAAATATTTTACACGTAAATCAAAAACTTTTTCTACTTTTTAACCACATATTATTCCAAAAATCACTATTACAACACTAATTTTAGCATAAAAATGGGGCTCAAATAAGGATTATATATGCTTTAACACAAACCAGCTCAGTAATCTAGTCAACTAACAATGAGAGGAAAGAAAAATGAAACCTAAAAAAATCTGGGTGTAGTATTATCATGTTAAAGAAAATAAATAATAACTGTAGCATTTGTAATTTAAACTAAAATATTAATTGGAGAAACCTACCAAAGTTTCAACAGTAAAAAAATTCAATTTGAATGGCTTTGTCCTACTGTTTTGCATTTCTCATTTAGGGTGTGTTTGATAGGAGGCCAATTCCATGGAAAATGGAATTGGAATTCCAACTTTCACTTTTAATGATGTTTGATGTCCAAAATTTTCCCTAAAATTCAAATTCATACTGTAACATGTTTGTTACATCCTTAAATCATGAAGAATATAAACGACTAGATACAAATGTAAGTTTTATTTTTTATTTTGGTTAAAATATATAATCGTGTAACATGTATTTAATTAAACTGAATTTTCATTGCAACAATCATAACAGGCCCAAATTTGTAATTTTCCCTTAAAATAAAGTGCAAGCTCCACAAAGTACCTTAATTTTAACTCCATAAATACTAACTTATAGTAGTAAAATAAAAAATAATAATAATAAGCTTCCTTAATCCCCCAATTAACGGTCAAGAATGAAAATTCCATAATCATCCCAAAATCTTTCCTCGTATAAGATTTTTCTCTTTTTTTCTTCTTTTTTTTTTTTTTCTTTTTTTTCTTTTTTTTGGGGGGCCTTTTTGGGGTTCTAATTCCCTTAGAAACCCATACCCCTAAAGCGAAAATCCCATTGTCTTTGCTGAATTGTTCTGAAAAGTATGTATCCCCGGAAGATGGAGGACTAAATGTTGTTGCTATTGGAGCCCGTGTAGCAAATTCTGTATTGGCCTACTCTCTGGCTAAGGTATCACGAAGAAATCTTTTTTATGCAATCTGTATGACTCGACATATATCTTGTTGCCACTTGATGCTTTCATGTCCATGTTAAAGTTTTATGTATGCATTTATATCCAATCATAGGATGGGCGCCAAGTGCAAGTGACAGAGAGGGACTTAATCCAACTTGTTGGAATTGTTGGCGAGTTGCTACAACAAGGAGGCTACCTCTAATTAGTCGAGTTGGGTATGGAGAGTAAGTTCTATATTTTGTTGCAACAATCTAGGCCCTGTTTGATTGTGTGTTTTTTTCCATGAAAAATGCTACTTTTTCCTCGTTTGATACCCCAAATTTTCCTGGCAAAGTGAATTCTTGGCAACCCGCTCATGCGTCTCTTTTCTTGGATTTTGTGGGATTGGAATTCTCACCATATATTGGTGAGAATTTCAATTCTTGGTATAGTAGCGTATTTGTTTTTTCAAAATTTTTTTTTGTTTTTTTTGGCAATAGAAACAAATTCTAAGAAATATTGTAAAAAATTATTTTCCTTTAATTTGCCATGTAAAACAAAGTCAAACGAATACTGATTTTCTTGAATTTTTTTTACAATGGAAATAAATTTATCCCCAATACCAGTAAAGTCTATAACTTTAATTGACAATTTTCATATAAAACAAAGTCAAACGAACACCAAAAAATACTTTTACTTCAACGAATTCCACGTGAAAAATTATACCAATCAGATACAATAATTTACAATTCATAGAAAATAATTTCTAAACAATTCAATTTCCTGAAATTCATTTTCTTTCCACCCAAATTCTATCTTCCCAATCAAACGGGCCTGAATTCTTTTGGATCTTCCGCTACATGCGGCTTTTGACTTGCAAGTGAATATATCTTGTGATAGATTGTGTAATTGGGATTAATTCTTAGCAAGTGTACCTTTATGCACTTTACAAAGAAGGGAAATATTCTAGAATGTCCTATTTTTTGGAAAAATTCAATTCAAATATATTCAGTAGAAGCTTTCATCACCAGAGAGTCATCCAGGATACGATGCCTAGTGTTGTTGGATAGAATTCCAACATACAGAACTTATAAAATATATCTAGCCCTTGTTTGAGCCCCATTTTTTTAAAAAAAAAATATATATATATACATTCTTAAGCAGTGTTTTAATATCATTTCAACCACATATTCTTCAATAATATTATACGTAAATACAAAATTTTTTCTTATTTTTTAACCACACATTTTCCATCAATACACTATTCAAAAATTCATTTTCCCCCAAAATGAGGCTCAAACAAGGGCCTAATGTAGCTCCAAATGTAGTGAAGATTTAGAGGCCGGTGACTTCCTTGACTTTGTAGAGGAAGAGAGCCAGAATTGGCTATAAGAAGAAAAGGATTGCCAAGACCGAGTCAAAAGCTCATGAGTAGCAAAAGATTCTTGCTTTAGGTGGATGAACAAAGGGAGAGGCATAGTGAGAGCTTGGCCAAGAAAAGATCAAAACTATCGCGGCCTTTAACATGAATATAATGCGTGTAATGTAGTATGTGAAATTGATGTTATTACGTTGAATAATTTAATATGTTACATAGAAAATAAGTTTGATGGGTAATACAATATGTTCTGCTTGATTTTTCAAATAGACACTATGGTTTTACTTGGTTTTAAAATATGAAATAACATGATGTGTAATGTAACATGTGTAGTATGTGACTTGATATGAGTGTTGGAAAAATAGTTATGAAATGGGTTAACTTTGAGCCCAAATTTCAGTAGGACCCACCTTTTAATTAATACGGAGCCTAACATATTCACGTTCTACTCCGCGAGATGATTAACGTGATATATTTATTTGTTGAAAATCATTTAGAATTGAATGAAATATTAAGCGTTAAAGTAACCCACATAAAATTAAATATTATGGAAGAATTTGATTTTCCAAACACTTATCTCACATAGGAAAGTTAGGAAACTTTAGTGTGATTTATAAGGTGGAAGTTTGAGAATTGAGTTTGAGCCCTAAGGGGTATCAATAGTTTTTGGAAAGGGGAAGATCTATATTCTATTGGGTTCGGTCATAAGCCCACACACGCGTGCCGCTGCTGCATTCCGACAGGCCGGATCGGCTTAACTTTTTGGACAAAATTTATTTAAATTTTTGGGTCAAATTGTAAATAATCAAATTCCTGGGTATATTATGAAATTTAAATTTTTGGCTTATTCCAGATTTGACCAAACAGTCGACTGTTAATCGACTTAACAGACGCGACTTTAGAACAACATGTTTGTTTCGGGTTTTTGAGGTTTGTCTGAAAGGTGACTTTTCGAATGACCACGAATAAGTCTATAAATAGTCTGCCTCTCTGTCAGAAAATTTACACCATTTTTATTGCAAACTTTATGTGCTTTGAATCTTATTCTCCTCTCTCGTTCTGATATTGTTTTGAAATTAAATACTCTTCGTTGAGTTCGTTGGAATTCCTGCAGATTGTTGTGCTGCTTCTGTAGAAGACGAAAATTCGTTCTATCCTGGGAAACGATTGTTGGATGCCTTTAACACCATTGAAGGTAGCAAATTCGTTTTAAGAAAATATCGTGAAGTCGGTGGACTTGAATTACATTTTGGATCCTATTGATCATTTCTTACATTCAGGTGATCCTGTCGAATTATTTTCGAAAGAGTAACTTCAAACTTTAGAAACAACAATGAGTATATAGTGTAATATATTACATTACATTGAAAACAAGTTTCATACCTAATATAATATGTTCGACTTCAGTTTTAAAATATTCATTATGGTCCCAATTGATTTTGAAGTGAGACATAACATGGTCAAATGGATCATGATTGCGTTTTGAGGAAGGTTAGGACTGTTCGTAATGTGGAAAATGTGAGGAAGGCAAACAATAATTCGAAAACCTTTGTTATGACATTGAACATCTCTTTTTGACATTATTCATTTGGGACATTTTTCCACCGCAACTCATGAATACTTAATAGCTTCTATAGCTACAATGAACGTAAAGATTAATGTCATGGATCTTATCAAACATGAAGCATACAGAACATATCATAATACGCATATCGTAAATTGAATCAATAAGAAGAATATTGAATTGATACTCATGAAAATATGACTATCTTAAGTAGCTAGTCAAGTCAACCTAGAGACGGAACTATCCCTAACTTTCACATATAATTAAAGTATTTCATAGACATGTCTGTGTAATACAATTAAAACTTTAGTAGCTTAACCTATCATTTCAATTTACATGTACCATGTCATTACCTTTGGGACAAATTCTTAGTGCTCGCAAACACTCATATAGCCCTTATTTATTATAGTGATTTTTATGAAATTTGTGTGGTCAAAAAGTCAAAAACGTTCTGGGATTATTGATAAAAAATTATTTTATTGGAAGAATGTGATAATGTGTGATAAAAAATGGGTTTGAAGGAAAATGAATTTTTTGAAAATGGGGCTGAAACGGTGGCATAAAAAACTTTGCTCATTGATCTTGATTTTTCAAGTGTTTGATCAAGGTTCTGTGATTGGTGATAAAAAAATGGCTTCCATCATTCGACGACCAAGTCTTTTACTCTTATCATTTTATAATAAAGATCATTCTTTTTGACCCAATTTGGTATATATTACATTTCAAGAAAAGATAATGCTTTTGGTCAATATCTCAAGATATATCTCATTTTGTATGTAAATTAAATAAATGAAAACAATGAAATAGAAGGGCATAACAAATTGGGGTCCACACCATAAGAAGGAGCCAGGTCCACATCAAATGGTGCCATTAAGGTCCACTTCTGGTGTAATTGGTAGTTCCCTTTCTGAAATGAAGTTGATTTTTAGAAGATAATGGAGTTTTGATAAAATTGATGGTGCAACCACCTCGGCTAACAGCATTTGTCAGCATCAATTAACAGATATGTCTAGTGAAGTGGAAGCCAAGAAAACACTCCTATGATTTTTAATAAATTCTCCAAATTTCATTAATTGTTTCAACTCACTCACCAACACCTCCCACCCTACCATTAATTACAAACAAAACATCTGTATTCAAACTTGTATATATAAGTAGTGCGTGTTTGTACGTTCGAGAATTCATATTCTTGTGCGAGGTATAGATTAATGAATTAAGGTTAGTTTTTCCAATTGAGAGGGAAAAATGGAAAGAGTAGAAGAAGGTGGTTTGGTGGTGAGGGGGAGAGTGGAGATCGATATGCGACAGCCTTTCCGATCAGTGAAAGAAGCAGTTTTGCTGTTTGGGGAAAAGGTTCTTGCTGGAGAAGTCTATGCAAACAAACTCAAAGAGGTCTCTCTCTCTCTCTCACTCTCTCTCTCTCTCTCCCCCCCTCCCCTATATGGCCATTTTGCTGGTGGGTTTTTTCTGAAACAAAATTTTTAGTATTTTATAGTGTTCTAAATTAAGTTGTTATAAACTCCTTTTGAACATATATAAATAATACAATTTTCATTATGTAGTGTAAAGTAACACTCTTGTAACTCGTTTTTTGATTTTTAATTTCTTCTCTAAATTTTCCAAGTATAGGGAGAATTGGAAAGATGATTTCACTATATTTCTCATCCGGCGCATGCCTGCCGTATCACGAGATTTTTTTTCCTCAAAAGGAAATTACGACAGCAGCTCTGAAAAGACAGATTAACTACCTTTCCTTTCATATGGAGAGAATATGATTAATTCAAACTTCAAACCCCTCTGGCAAATAAGAATGTCCCCTAATTTAAACCCTATAACTTACCATTAGCATGAACTCGTTTCAGTCGCTCATCATAGGGAATTCAGACATTTACTTCAAATTAAGTGTCAACAGGCTTATTAACTGGAAATTGACACATGTAGACATGCCAAAATTTAATACACATTACGGATAGGCCTAACATTATTTTTCTGCCAAATGTGTCAAAATTTGAACAAGTTGATATTGAGCACTTGAAAAGTATACAATTTATTTCAGATAGAAAACAAACAGAAGAATGGAAAATACACATCAAAAACTGGAGCAGCTGATCACCATGTTGAGCCAACAAAGCAGAAAAGTGCTGAAAAGGCAAAAGAAGAAAGTAACAATCTGATGGTTCAGTGTCTTAACTCTCTGAGGCAAGAGCTCGAACAGACAAAAATGGAGCTACGGCAATTGAAATCCAGAGAATCCCACATCGAAACCTACAAGCAATTGGTAATTGAACCAGAAATTGAAGAGCTAAAGTTTATCGAAAACAGTAGTACAACTAATGTTAAAGCTGAAATCAAGAAGCAAACTGAAGAAGAAAATGACTTGGAATTTGAGAAGAAGAGGTCAGTGAAGTTTGCAAGTCCTCCATTGTTAACCCGAGTCATCATAAACAAAGATGATAGTGATAAAGTCGGAGAGCAAACGCCTTCACCAAAAAAGAAACCAAAGAAGAAGCCATTAGTATCCCTCATGGGAGGTTTATTTCTGAAGAAAGAGAGAAAGTAAATATGAAAAGGCTATGCGAGATATAGCACTTGTTCTTTTTTATCTTCTAGTTTCTCGGATTTGTAATTTCACTGAGGTGAGTGAGGCCCTAGCTCCCTCCTAAAATTGTATTTTTTTTTTAAAAATAATTTGCGGTATTAATAAATACATTCATGGGGTTGTTTAATTTTTTTTTGACAAAAAATGGGAAGTTCAAGTCTTCTGAAAATTCTCCATTTTTTATTAAATATTTTTTCTTCACTCTCTCGATCTCTCTCACTTCACTTGGACGCTCACACACCAAGTGAAAATTCATCCTGTCACAGCTTTATGCTCAATAAGGCTCAAAGTGTTGGCTTGAACATGGTTTTGGTACTTGAGCAGAGAATTGCTTTTGAGATCAACAAGGCTCGAAGTGTTGGATAGAAAGGATCACTTTTGCATATAAATTGTCGATTTTGGGATATTTTTGCCAAATTTAAAAGGATAAGTCCTCAATCCCTAAAAAAACTTTGTTTTCAGCACCACATTTTATTTGCAAAGGAGGTCCACAATTATTTTTTATTGTCACACTTGTTGGAAAAATGAGTAAATGCTCACTTTTGGCACAATTTTCGATGGGACCCATTGGTCCAATTTGGAATATCAAAGTTGATCCGTGTTCTCTTCCGTGAGAGTATCAAAATCATATATTTACTTGTCAAAATTGATGAATGAATGAATGCAAAATTGGAGCTTAAAGTTGACCATTGGAAGATGGTTTATGTGGGAAAATTTGAGTTTGTCCCACATGAAAAAATTGAGTTTGTCTCACATAGGAAAAATATGAAAGTAAGAACCACTTTAAATATGGTTGCACATTGAAAGGATGTAATCATGTGCAGTATAGAGGTTCTCTTCACGTGTGCACACAGGAAGGTGCAAATCACGGACTGAAATAGCTTTCGAACCTAAAACTTATATGCGGGAGTGACCTGCGTACGCGAATGTCGGACCGAATGGAGCAAAAATTGACCCGTTTGGAGTGTCCACATTTTGTAATTTTTTTGCTTTCTCCAACTGATCTTTGAATTTTTGAAAACTGCTAAAACTCTCAAAAATTGAAGCAACTCCGATGTTTATTGCTATCGAGTTAATAGGCAGATTTAAACTTATATTAAAGATCATTTTCCAACAGTTCCAGTACATACGAAAAAACTCTCTGTCAGAAAACACACGAAATTGCACTGTTCAATCGTCTGCACATAAAGTTTTCGTCTAGGTGATGATATTGTTAAGATGCTAAATTAGTTCGTCGAATAATATCCGTGACGCTCATATTCTACGAGTTTTACCGTTGTATCCTGGGAAACGGACGTTCGAATTAGACTTGAAGCACTAACGGTAACGGGCGAATCTGTTTTAAGGGAAACTGTGTTTGCATAGGTCTCGAGTTGAAAATTTATCAGCTATTTATTTATTTTGCAATTACGCATTTACAATTTATTCTTGCATATTTATTTATTTAGCGATTTACACGTTTGCAATTTACTTGATTCATATATTTTGAAGTTTACTTGTTTGTTATATTTATGTTAGAAATAAAAATTGAAAAGAAAAAAATATGAATTTTCTTGCTAATAGTTGGTAAATGCAAATCGATATAAGTAAGTTACATATACAGTATTTTTATGTGTAAGTAAAAATGCGGTATGTCAAAATACGGTATATATGAATAAGATAAAGAAAATATGTGCAAATAATGTCAAATACATATACGGTAGACAACAATACGGTAAGCTGCAGATACGGTAAGTTGCTTGCAAATACAGTAGACTGCAAATACGGTAAACTGCTCATGCGATATATTGTATATATGGTATGCTTAAATCCGGTATCTAAATTACATATACGGTATGCACTAATCCGGTTTCATCCAATACATTAAATTCCAACAACACTTATGTTTTCAATTTTTTCATTATATTCTTATCATCAACCTTCTTTTAATTAGCAAATCATGTCTTGATAACGATTTTTGATAAGTTCATTTTATATACTTATTCGAGCTTCTATTCTTATTTATTTATTTATATGTAAATTGAGTGAATAACTACTTAATTTTGTGTAATTTATGTTAATTGTAGGAAAATCACAACTTGGATACAATTATGTGAAAAGAGACTATTTGGAACTTAATTGAAATTTATTTGAAGTAATTGAAGATTAACCAAATTGCAAGAGATCAATTGTAAATATTAATGGAGGCTATGGAGCATTCGATACAAATTCATAAGTTTCGGGAGTTCAATTCGACAATTGAAAAGTTTGGAGACTAAATTACGAACTTTCGAAAATTGCCTCAGGTCAACTATAACGATTTTAGAATGAAGATGACTTAATTGTAAATATTAGAAGATGAAGGACAAAAATCATATGAGAAAATGAGTTCAATTAGAGTGTGTTTAATTGACTTTATTTTTCTTAAAAAAGAAAAAAAGAAGTCATTTTTCATCCAAATTCCTACTTTTGGTGTTGGATTGACAATTTTTTCTATGGAATTTTTTTCCAACTTTTGGTCATGTGATAATATTTTCCTCAAAAATAAAGAAAATAGTTTCGTTAGGGATGGGTGATTTTTATTTTTCAAATAATTCACTCTATCTTTCTCTCTTTCATCTATCCACTCTTTCTTGTCTACCCACAAATAAAATATGGACAAGTATAATATTTTTTAGATTGAAAATTAAATCAATTAAATACATTTAATTAATAATTTTCATACAAATAAGTCGTAGACATTTGAATTGTCTAGAATTTATTTTATCTTCATTTAAATTCCATACTCGCAATCAGATGCATTCTTAGAAAAGGAATTTGTTTCATTTTCCTTCTCACACTCTTTGGTGAAATTCAATTTAAACAAAAATTTTGCCTAAATCTTGTTCCATAAATACATACCTTTGGTCCTATAGTTAAAGAAGGGACTTGTAGAGTTTTATTATACACATATATTCAAGCCGATGTTTGGGAGATTCATTACACACTTAAGAAGTTATGATTTCAAGATTTTACAAAAAGGAAGCAGAATCTTGATGCAAGAGCTTCATCACACACACACACACTCTCTCTCTCTCTCTCTCTCTCTCTCTCTCTCTCTCAAACTTTCACTTTATTTCAATCTTGTTTTATTATTCTCCCATGAAGTATACTTAATTATTTAGTTGGGATGAATGATTGTAACTTTATTTTAAGCCTTAATTTTGACCAAAATGTTTTGAATTTTCAATTGATTTCGTGAATTATCTTTACTTGCAACCTTAATGCTTGGATTAATTGATTACTAATTCATTGATTTTGTAAACGATAATTACGTAAAGATATGATTATTTGTTTAGACTATGTAATGAAAGTTGAAAACTAGTATAAAAGAATAAAGATATATTTTCTAGTTAAGGTGGTCATTACATGGACTTTTAAACATTTAATACGTTTAACTATGTATACTAATTCACATAGAGATATGAAATTGACTTAGTTAAATAGAATTAATTTGGACTTGAGAAAGGTAAATTGAATATGTTAGAAGAATTCGTCCGGATAAAAAAAACTACTTCTAATTGTTCTAAATTGAATTGAAGTTAGGAATAATTGAACCAACGGTTAAATTGTAGCTCTTGTGGTAATGATATTCGGGCTCTTAGATCCTCTTTATTATTTGTTACAATCAATAAACTTGTGGAGTATAAAATCGACAACAGTTTCCTCCATAAATTCGTTTTGAAGACATATAAAAGATTTATTTACTACTCATATTTGAAATAAGCAAAATTAAAACTACAAATACGAATGTTTAACAAAATACGCTCCTTGTTTCAAAGCATGCGAACACAAATTGTCATTGGAGATAATGTGTGCAAATGAACTAAAGGTTGAAAATAAGAATGTGACCAACAAAAATTTGGAGATACAAGTGTGACAATGAACAAAAATTGAGAATCTTCATTAAAATTAAAATATGAATAATGTTACGTGTATACTTCAAGGGGTACATCCCCTCGCATGGAAGATGCTCATTAAAATTAAAATATGAATAATGCTATATGTATACTTCAAGGTGTACACCTCCTCGCATGGAGGAGGCCAACGCACATTTTTATTATGTGTAGACTCCTTCCATGTGATGAGGGAATAAAACTGTGTGTACACAGTTATGTATACGCAGCATTACTCTTAAAATATTGTGCGAAAAACAAAATCTGTGATGTAATATTATACTTTTCATCATAAATACCAAAAACTGTGTATCATGTTCGTTTTTCATGAATAAAACATGCCACCTCAAGTGGTTTTATTAAAAAAAAAAAAAATGTAATTTATGTGAGTGTATGTAGAGATGTTTACAAAATTGTTCCCTATCCTTTAATGCTTCTAGCAAATTCATCACTAATCTTTAATTTCGTTTGCATGTTTCGCCCATTTTACATAGTTCCTTCAATTTTCAGCTTATTTTCTTCACATTTTTCGAAATATAAAATTGATTAAATACAAATTATTGAACGAAATATTATTTTTAACTCAAATTTATATATTATACTTTAATATTATTGCAATTTCACTAGTGTCGCAAAAGAGTATCATCCTTTTGAATACTCAAAATGGTGTGAGATTCACAAAAAAGTATACTACCTCGAAAAATTGGCACTATGAGTAGTCAAATATTGTACAATAAGATACCTAGATTGAATCTCTAATCATTTATACTACCACATTAAGCTTAATGCTTCATGTAAACAAACATCAATACATAAAATCTAATGAAAATCAAGTTCACAAGAAGGGGTTGTTCGACAAAATTTTTGATAAAAGTTTTAGCAAATTTTGATAAAATTGATGAAATGTGCAATTAAAAAGTTGACAAAAATTGTGGATCCTATGAAAGTGTGACTAAAATTAATTGTTGACTGTGACTTTAATTTTTAAGCAACTTCTTAAAAATTTTACCAAACAGGCGCTTTAGAACTTCTATTCATTGTATATGTTGAGTGGTGTATAGAACCTCATAACCTTTGTTGTGATACCACTTTTGTTACGATCCAATTTTATTCTTAAAAATATTGGGATTTCAAAAAGAATTCTGTAATCGATAAGAAATATGATTTCAAACATGTCTATATATATTGGTGAATCTAGCCAAA